GTCACGAGCACGGACGAGACGGGGAAGATGGCAGAAGCACCGGGGTTGTACGAGGTGAGGGAGAGGGCCGAGTCGCCGCAGTAGGTCGTGGCGGACGTGGCGGCGGCTGCCATCAAGGTGAGCAGAGCAGAGAGAGGGTTCATGATGTGTTTGGTGTCGAGCAAATGCAGGAATGCGGCGTCGGAAGCCGATCGCTTTGGTTACCATAATTATTCTTGCTGATTCGCGAGCCGCAGGTTCCCCACCACTCACCTGAAGGCCGTGAGTAGCATCGTTCGAATGAAGACTCGGTTGAACGTGTTGGGAGCGCCAGTCTTCCGTCGTCGTCACGGGAAGGAATGTCTCTGGCTTGGAGACGGTGTGCAATTTTGTGACTGCTACAGCGGGTGACGTTGTCTCCGTACTGTATGCGTGAAGGAGAAGAGCCATGAGAGACTCTGATGTGCTGTTGCTCTGTTACTCTAGTGTCTCGGCCAAGCCAAATCACCAAGCTGGATCCAAAACAACGAGCTCGACGAACGCTATGTGTATACCTCGGTAACCACAGACCAGCCTCTGTTACCGAGGCAACAATAGCTACCTTGGTACGAGTGCCGGCAGGAGCTCTAGGGACGAGCTGATGCGAAGGAAACTTATGGAGTGCATGGTATACCGGTATGTCGCGATCCGAGATATTTGATAACTCACTGCACACCAAGTACACACTTTGTCGCAAGACAACACGACGTCCATGACAAGATCGATATTGGCATCGGGAAACCCACTATGACTATATATATTCGACCCCAAGATCTTGACTTTTCTACGCAGTATCAACAACTATCTTGGTGTTCACAAACTGCTCTCGTTCTTCATAATCTCGCTGAGAGTCATGGACTCGACTTCTCACGGCGAAGCTCTTTCAGAGTCGACGCTTCGTCTCATGTCCGGATGCAATGGCCAATGTGGTATCGCACAACGGCATTTTAGAGAGCCAGATCTTAGAGCAGTGATTAAAGACGTCAGATCTTATTTCCAGCAGACCAACTAAGCTACGTCACTATCCGCCACCAAAGCCTTCTCAAAGGGCCCCAACAATCGAAGCTTGCATTGATCTTCTCTCCTTCCACCGTTCGGTTTTAAGCGTCTTCAACAATGCGACAGGTCGTTCGAACATATGTTGTCGCACGTCTTCCTTTGAACGACTGGAATCATCGACGATGAGTGTGTCGCGCGGCTTCAGCGATCGGCTTCCGACGCCGCATTCCTGCATTTGCTCGACACCAAACACATCATGAACCCTCTCTCTGCTCTGCTCACCTTGATGGCAGCCGCCGCCACGTCCGCCACGACCTACTGCGGCGACTCGGCCCTCTCCCTCACCTCGTACAACCCCGGTGCTTCTGCCATCTTCCCCGTCTCGTCCGTGCTCGTGAC